GGAGAAAGATAAATATCACATGATCTCACTCATATGTGGGATATAATGATCAACATAATTTGATGAACAAGAATAGATCCAGAGACAAATGGTAGGGGAGGAGGTTAAAGAGCAACCAAAGGACTTGTATGCATGCATATTAGCATAACCAATGGACACAGACACTGGGGCAGTGGGGGCTTGCCCGGGGTGGGAATGGCTGGAGGGGGGGGATGTCAAGTGGGGAAAAATGAGACATATGTAAAACTTTACACAATAAATAAATTTTAAAAAATAAGATAAGTAAAATACAGTGTAACGAATGCTATGTGGGACACTGCAAGGGGCTCTGACAGGACTGGGCAACCTGACCTAGTTGAAGGGGTCAGGGAAGCCTTCCCAGTAGAAATTATTTTTCAGCTGACATGAAGGTTGGTTAAGACTTAATCCAAAATTGGGGAAAGCAAGAGTGAACAGTTGAGGGGAAAACATTGGAGCAGAGGAAGTAGTATGTAGGAAAGTTCAAAGATGAATAACAGTGATATGACAAAAATAATAATAAATAATATTGACTCTCACTCTGGGTCAGATACTTACCCCCATTTGATAGATAAAAAACGGAGACACAGAATGTTGAAGTAATTGTCCCAAGGTCACACGGCTAGGAGCTGGTGGGGTTCAGGCTAAAATCGAGGGACTTGGCAACAGAATCTACCTGTTTACACTATACTACAAAAGATCCTGTCATGCTTCAGAAACTGAAGTTTTAGTCCATGTAAAATGTAAGGGAGAGGCTGGCAGGGTCAGATAATGGCGGGTATGGTAAGCCCTTGTACCAGCTACTTCCCATGCCCTCCTCACATCCTCCTGACCCAGCTTTTCTTCTACCAGTCACGGCTGCAGCAACCGGGTAGCACCTGCCTCAGCTGTGCCTGGTATCTTGCTTTCCCAGGGCTGCTTTTCTAAATTTGCAACAAGGAAAACCTGGGTATGAGAAGGAGTTAACACCCCCTGCCATGGCCCTGACCAATGGGGGTCAGAAACCAGGAGGTAAAAAGCCCCCCTTTCCTTCCTTGCGTGGACACTTGTGAGGAGCAGAGAGGCGATCGACACTGTGTCTCTGAAGGTCAGGAGGGATCAGCCCCAGGTGCCCAGAGCAGTGACCAACTCCTACTTCATTCTTCCCAGCCCTGCTCTCCAGTTTTATGTGACCACTTCCTGAAAAAAACTACTACCCACAAAAACAAAAAACAAAAACAAAACACCTACCACCTACACACAATCCTTGTCTCAGACTCTGCCTTCTGGGGTAACCAGGTTGAGGCAGCCATGTGAGACAGGAGTTTATCCTACAGGCAGTCAAGGAAAGCATCTTTTTAGAAAACCATACCCTCTGTCTCACAGGAAACAACAAGAGCTTGAGAGTGGGGAACAAACTCAGAAAACTGATAGCTTGATAAAGGCTCCCATAATTCTCTCGCCACCATTGTCAGGAAGTTGTCTCAGAACAGGCCACAGAAAGAGTGCACACTCTTTCTTCTGCCCCTTTGGCTGTGGGCTAGAAAAATGGCAACTGCTATGGATCCTCTAAGACCTGGGCCCACTTCGGAGGCCATGGCATCCACAACACTGCTATTTCTTCCATCATCTTGTAGCCTCTTCTCGTCCCTCCTAGAGCCCAGAGACTTATGACTGTCCTCCCTGCTGGTACCTTTGGAAGTACACTAAATCTTAAAACCAAAGAATAATGTGGAAGATCAGGAAATAAAAGGACCTGATCGGTGACTTGGTTTTAAAGCATTCTTGGCTTCTCTCTCTTCTGGATAAGATGTTTTCATTTTTCACTCATTATGATATGAATAAATTCCAAACTTAGTACTATCATAGCCAGAAATTTTCCATATAAGTAATACTGGCAGTAACACTATACATTTAGCTTAAGGATGAAGTTGTTTCCATATTATAGAATTAAAAGTAAGTTTGCTCTCAATATTAGAGTAAGTAACCTAAAAAGGATAGCATGTATATTATTTATTGTCCATAATAACTTTAACATTCATTGTCATATATCTGGGAACAAATGGGACACTATGTAACCCTGCCTAAAACAGTTTGTTGAAAGGTCAGCTATAGTAATTATGCCTTAATTATTACACAAACTTAATGGGTAAATTGTTAACAAAAAGATAGCAGACTATAATGTGTCTAATTCTTTTTTTTAAAATATATTTTATTGATTTTTTACAGAGAGGAAGGGAGAGGGATAGAGAGTTAGAAACATCGATGAGAGAGAAACATCGATCAGCTGCCTCCTGCACACTCCCTACTGGGGATGTGCCCGCAACCAAGGTACATGCCCTTGACCAGAATCGAACCTGGGACCCCCAAGTCTGCAGGCTGACGCTCTATCCACTGAGCCAAACCGGCCAGGGCTAATGTGTCTAATTCTTAAACTGTTTAAGAAAAATAGACTCCAAATAATGAAAAAAAATATTTTATCTTATGCTAATTTTAATCAAATTTATTCTTACATTTGATAGTCATTAAATTGCAGTGTTTACTTGAAACTATTACATATTAAAAATAAGAGAAGGGTAAAAGTTCTGCAACTATGGTATTTACAACATAATTAGGGTTAAATTTTAATTAACATATGCAAAGTGGCTTAAAAACTGTTACCACTGTCATATCTTACCTGTATATATTAGACTGACTATATTCATAAAGTTTCTTTTCCAGCTCCAATCTCTTCTTTTCACTGTAGTACAGAAAGAAAATATTTTATAAATAATTATACTGATAAGTAATTGGCTATTGAATTTAGAATATGATCGCCTTTGAAATCACACTTTTGTGAGAATGCTCTCTGGTCTCTCTAAGAAGCAGAAAATGCTGGCTGTATTTGAAACTCAAGACATAAAATTACTTAGCCGTCACCAGGGATGTCTAAAAAGCAAAGAGGACACTAACACAAAGTAGAAACAACAAGCTTCTAAAGTAAATGGGGAATGCTGTAAGAAAAGTATTTCTTGAGTACCATGATGAGCCAGGCAATAAATAAGTTCTAGGCCTAGAGACTAACATGGTGAACAAAGCAACCAAGAACCCTGTCATCAGGCAGCTGACATTCTAGGGGGAAGGACAGACAATAAACATACAAATACGTAAGATGTAATATGGCCCGATATCTCTGCGATGGTGGCACATCAGGACTGGACATGATGCTTCTACAGATCAGTCAAGCTTGGGCAGAGCCAAGTGTCTGAATTAGGAATAGGTCTCTGAAAAATAAACCTGGCCTCACTGACATTTAGTGAAGACCAGGTCACCTAACACTATTACTTCAAATTTGGGGGAATTTCTTTTTATAACTTTGTAACATCACCATGATTTGTCATTAACTGCTATTCCCTGGAGCTACCACCAGTAAAGACTTCGCCTTGGGTTCAGGCCAGTGCTGGAAATAAGCGAGGAGAAAGCTTACCCTGCACACCCAGCCTGGGCAAGAAGTGGGGAAACTGGAGAGGGCAGCAGCCAAAACCAAGGGACTAGGGGGTGAAACTGCTGAATGGGAAGCCATCCTGATCCTCAAAAGAGCCCTTGGGAGGTTTATCCATAGGGGGCTCCGCATGACCACCGCCAAAGTCCCGGCTTCAATCTTGTCTAATTGAGGTCACATTGCTAATCTAAGTTAACATTAACTAAAGGCCGAAAGAGAAATCATATAATGTCTGAGAGGAAAATGCTATAAAAAGTACTGTGAATCAAAGACAAGGAGTCCAACAGAAGGTGAGCTCAGGTTGTTCTCTTGAAGGAAAGGGGCTGAGCCCACATTCCATTTTTTTTTCTTAAAAAAAAAAAAAAGCCCCAAATTTACTCTGTTAGCTATATGATAGGTTAAGTAAATTTCATTGTTTAGCACAATTTAACTGAAATTCTTTTAATGGAAAAATGGGATATAAAATCCAGACACCTAATCTTTGCTTGGGGAATATAACCTATTCCTTAGTTGGGGGTATGCCTACGTTAAAAAAAGAATCAAAGATTAAAAGGAAAAACTTATTAAAAACACAATTTAAAAAAATATTTTTATTGGTTTCAGAGAGGAAGGGAAGGGGAGAGAGAGATAGAAACATCAATGATGAGAGAGAATCATTGATCGGCTGCCTCCTGCACACCCCCTACTGGGGACTGAGCCCGAAACTGGGGCATGTGCCCTGATCAGAATCAAACCCGGACCCTCAGTCCACAGGCCAACACTCTATCCACTGAACCAAGCCGGCTAGGGCTAGAAACACAATTTTAAAATGAATAGTTTCTCATAGGTTTTTACTTAATAAGACTGAACTTAGAAATGAAGGAAATATGGTACAATTGCAATTAATGAAGAATGAATGACTGGACAGTGTAAGCAATTTGTCATTAAATTACAAGGATAAAGACACTCTTAAATGCATCTATGACCTTGTGCCCTTGGTGTCATGCTTCATATCTGTGGTGTTCCTGTCAAGAAAGTATGACCAGTCTGGTCATGAAGAAACATCAAGTGGACCCAGTTTGAGGACCACCCTCTGGAATGAAAGTTGTACTCTGTGAAACTCTCAGGAACATGAAAAACAGGGAAAGACTGAGGAACAGTTCCAGACTGGCAGAGACTACAGCGGCATGGCAACCAAACACAACATGGGTTCACAGAGGGGGCATCATACTTATAATTCTAAAATTATTCAGAAAAGACTAATAATTTTAGATAGATAAGTAGATAGAGAAAAAGAAAATGTTGAGTTGAGAAACCTAGGTGAGGGGAATATTAGAGGTCTTCGTCCTACTTTCCAACTCTTATGTAAACTTGAACTTCAGTATAATTTTTAAAATTCAACTATGACTTCTAGTGAAACAGGTCCACAGACTGGAAATCCATCAGCTCCCAAGCAACAAGTTCTTTTTATTTTTATTGATTTCAGAGAGGAAGGAAGAAGGATAGAAACATCAATGATGAGAATCATTGATTGGCTGCCTCTTGCACAACCCCTACTGGAGATTGAGCCCACAATCCTGGCATGTGCCCTGACCCAGAATCAAACTGTGACCTCCTGGTTCATAGGTTGATGTTCAACCACTGAGCAACACCAGCTGGGCAACTAGTTCTTTTTAATAATGAATGTTAATAATGATCAACTTTGTTCCTGCTTAACCTTCTATAGATACTGGTCATTTGGGCCAATTCAACACCAACAGGAATTCCTATTTGGAGTGGCAAAGAAGGAAACTTTATTCAGTGCAAAACAGCTCAATTGCAATACAGCCTGGCTGTGAAGCAGCCCTGGAACCAGCCCCTCTCAGGATGCACAGCTCTGTTCTGCTCTTCTATTGTCTGATCCACTCTGCTCCTGCCAGACTAGACATCTTTGGTGTTTCACCTCAGCCAGGGAAACAGTCTTGGGTAGAAAGGGCAAATGAACTCTCAAAGACAGAAGGAACCTGGCTTACATGGACAGAAATCCCCACCTCTGATCCCTAAATTGGTCTATTCTCATGCAAATGAGCACACCAAATCTTCAGTTTGATTGGTCCAAAAGGCACTGTCCTGATTGGTCAGGATAGAGCTGCTCTGGTTGGTTGGAGCTGCACAGCTCTGACTGGATGGGGAACACCACAGTCCTATTGGTTACAATAGGATTCCAGAGACTCCTTTATAATAAGGGCTGGCTCAGATGGCAGGAACACAGAGCAGGCAGGCAGTTCAGTTCACAGGCAGGCAGTTTGGTGCAGGTCTCTCCTTGAAGGGCAGTTTGCATAAGAGGTCCCTGTGTAGAAACAGCAGCTAGGCTCTGTTTTTGTTTTTGGGGTGTTTTTTTTTTTTATGTTTTTGTTGTTGTTGTTTTAGTTTGAGCCCACTTAGCCACTAGTAGCCCTTCTTAGTAGGTGTCTTCTTTCTCATGATTTACAATACAGACATCTGCTGGCCATACTTGTTCTCTATGGTGACACTTCATATACTGAAAAGCCACAATCAAACACCTCTTGGCCTCCTATTCCAGGCAAAATGATTATAATCTCATCAATTCTTCAACCCAGGCCGTTTCTAACCTCGTCATCCACACCCCACCACCTCTGAATGCTGTCTTTCATATATGTTTTAAATTTAAGACTTAAAACCATATATTTACTCCAATAAAAAGCCAGAGAAAGGTGTATTTGGAGGATCCTCTTGCAATTTCTACATGTTAAATCTTTATTTCAGTATCGTTGAAACATCCAGCCCTGGGATGGGTACCCATAGTTTGTGGTTCCAGTCACCTGAATCCCCACCCCCAAACCCCCACCTCCAATCTTTTTAACTTTTACACAGCTGGGCAGTCCTTAAAGTGCAGCCATGTTTACTTTTCTCCTTTTAAGCCACTAGTTATTCTGCTTTTGTCTCAATACCATCTTCAGCATCACTCAACTAATATCTCAGTGTCAATTTCTGAACTATTATGATATCTCACCGTGAATCAATAATGGCATTGAAAAAAACTGGGTCTGGTTAATGGGCCTCTTAAAGGGACGTTTTTATATAATTGCAAGAGTCAATTCCACTTACATGTTTCTACCATGCTTGTAGCACTACACACACTGTAACAAGTCACTTTACTAGGCTCTTTCAGATTCAATGATTGACTTTTACCACAGTGCAGAGAAAACACTATATACAAAAGGAGACATTTCAGAATATAAAATCGCATCTGTGTGACTACAGCTAAGATAATTTGAGCTACAAATACACCGGCTACAAGGGAAAAGCCCATTATTAGACCAGCTAACATTGCAATGACCCACCTCAAAGAGGGCTGAGAAAAGACAAGTTTTTTTTTATCTTGTACTCCTAGGAAATTTTTTATAAAGCAGCTGTGAATACCCAGGATTGCAGCCTTTAAAATTACTCTTGAGTTTTAAGAGACAATGGTCCTTTTGATCGCTGGGATTGGTTAAAAAAGGGGGGGGGCATTCAAACACTCAAATAGAAAGCAATGATATTCAGTTTGCTCTGCAAAACTACACCTTTCAACTCTTTTACTCCGAGGCTCTTTACTCCAGTAGAGACAAAAAGAAAACCTGAGGCCTTACTTTACATATTAATCAAGGCTCCTCATTTCTGGTGAAATACTAAGGTTCAAAGAAGCTGAATGACCTACTCAAGGTGACACAACTGTTCATGGACTAGAACCCAGGTTTCCACGGTTCTACTGCAGTTTTCTCTGAATCCAAAGTTATCTGCCTCTGTATTTATTAACTATGTGTTAGAGCTAGTTACAGACTTTTAAAATAAAAAGTGAATATGGAGGAACAGAATTGTACTGACTTAAAAATAAAACAAACCTCCAAATCCAGAACCATGAATAGGTTATACAATTTGACTCAAATTCGTTATATAATTTCAACAGCCTCACCTTGCTACATAGTTAAGTATTTAATGTGAAACGTAAAGTGAGCAATAATAATGACATAGTTATACTTCAAGGACTATAAAGAGCCAGGTGTTCTAGCAGAGGAAGCAAAAAATGATAACTCACAATTAGTTCGAAAAGAATGCCATTTGAACCAGTCACATTTTGAAATTTGAACTTGGGCTAAGCCTGGCTGGTGCTTGAGCGTCAACCTATGAACCAAGAGGTCACCAGTTCAATTCCCAGTCACATGCAGGAGGCAGCTGATTAATGCTTCTCTCTCATTGATGTTTCTATTTCTCTCTCCATTCCTATCTCTCTAAAAATCAATAAAAATAAAAAATAAAAAGAACTTGGGCTAAGAGATACACATAACTGAAGGCTTGGAGTAACTCAGCTACTCTTTTAAAGAACAGAGTCAAAAAACACTAATTTACAGAGCAATGTCTCATCTCTTAATTATCAGGTATGTGCAGACAGTTAATATCATCTTTGAAATATCACACTGTCCACTTTTCCTGGTTACTTGAAAAACGGTCATTATTTGGTCTCAATGTGTGGCTACTGGGTTCTATACAAGACATTCATAACTCCTGGACACTAGCTGGCTGACTTTGGCATTCCTTCCATTCATTCAACAAATATTTATCAAGCCCCTTTTTCGTGTCAGGTACTCTATCACAAGCTAAAGATCCAGTTAGATATAATTCCTGTCCTCCTGGAATTCTCAGTCTAGGCAGGGAGCAAGTCACTTAAAGCCATTATCTAGAGTGCTGTAAGAATCCAAGGTCACACAAGTCAGGGAATGGGTTGTCAGTACTTGGTGCAGGGGATGAACTTCAGGAAGAGATTTTTTAAAAGTGGGAGATGAAGAGGTCACTGGGGTGGGTGATTAGTGGCACGTCAGAAAGAAAAGAGGACGTAGAAAAGATTAAGAGGTAAAATATGATTAGGACAACTAAGAAGGCCTATTGTAGATGCTCTATAAATATTTGACAAGAATCAAAGCTAGCATAAGATGAATATAATTCCTTTCAAAACCCACTTCTGCCTTTACCTGACATGTAATTGTTGTCATTTTAGAACTGTCACACACACACACACACACAAACACACAGCTCTCCTCTTCACTAAAATGATTTTGTAACTTTTAACACTCATTAAACGTGTTATCATTAGATCCAAAGATCTATTTCCTTTCAACTAATGAGATTTCTAGTTTCAATTAATTTAGGAGCTACATAATAGTTCCAACAACTTATCTTTGATGTGATTATTTATAGTAAATTACTTTATAATTTTCCCTCTTATGTGCTTAGATCTTGTTTTCTGTGGTTCTCATCTTTCATGTCTTAATCAAGTTATTAATCAAGGTATCTTGGACCCTCTGGAAGCTGCACTTCTCTCGCTGGAAATTTCATCCTTGCGCTGGGTATCTAGTCCCCCAAAGTCTTCTGTACTTAAGCAGGGCATCTCTCTCTCTCTCTCTCTCTCTCTCTCTCTCTCACACACACACACACACACACACACACACACACACGTGTGCTCCTGGACCTGTCATCTTCGCTGCAGTGCGCTGCCGCTGCCGGCGTGGGATGACAACTTGAAGAGACTGGGAGGAGGCGTGTAGATGGGACTGGAGACGTTCACACATTCGCGAGGCTTGATCAGAATGACAGGCAGGAGAACTCCCACTCTCACTGCAGCATCCCGCCGCGGGAGACCGCCAATAAGTGAGGGGTCTCCGGTAAACGTGGCCCTCCAGGCGTCGCCCGGAGCGTGGGGCGTCGGTGCAGACCCGGGCCCAGGGAACCACGGGCGGGAGAGGGGTAAGAAACGGGGGTTGGGCACCAGCTGACCCACGGAGCTGGCCGAGTCCCCCCCACGCTCCGATAGGCCGTACCTGTCCCGCAGCTCGAGCTGGAGGCGGCGCAGCCTCTCGTAGTATTCGGGGCTCTCCGGGAGCCAGGGCGGTGCGGAGGCCGGGACCATGCTGCCGCTTCCGCCGCTGCTCTCG